TACTTTTGAATCAATTTTTTTATTCTTATAACAAATCTCTAGATAGCAGTCATTGTTTTGCTTTCAATATATTTCTCGCAAGACTTTTCTCATCTCATCTCAAGTCGTCTCTCTCTCTCTCTCTCTCTCTCTCGGAAAAGATTAGAAAAACTTTTCGCTGCGAAACAAAAGACAGTAAAAATATATAAAATAAAAAAATTTAATTCATTTTTTCCCTATGACTGTAAGACACATACATATGATTGATACGACACTTAACGTTAAGGTTTTTACTGTATATAGTCTTACGGCTCATAATATTTATCAAAAAAGATTTTTATTTGTTTTCCACTCTATCCAGTTATGTGAAAACGGCATTCCTTTCCATGTTATGAGTGCTATGTGTATGAGTGGGGGGAAGGCTGTTCACACAAACGGGCAATGATTTTCATTTAACATTTTTAACCCCCAATGGACCTGAGATTACAATTCTTGTGTTATATGACTGAAAAAAATTTCATTCATTCATAACCTTTGTAATACTGTTAGTATAATTGTTCGCAATATACAGTATATATAGGAGTTCCTATGCTATACATTCACCACTGGCTCACAGAATACACAGAATTTGCAGAATATTCTGTGTATCGTCAGTGACTCACGGAGTTACACAGAATTTACAGAATATTCTCTGTTTAATCAATGACTAAGCATACTGTATAAACATACTGTGTATATGTCTTAATCTAAACCCTTTAAGCTTTTTTATTTCTATGGATTATATAGAGTTTAAAGAATATTCTGTGTATGTATTCGTTGGCTCCCAGAATTCACGGAATTTACAGAATATTCTATGTATTATCACTGAATATACTTATATTCTGAATATACTATGCTATTCACATAATATTCTATATAATCACAGACTATACAGACATTTAAAGAATATTCTGTGTCTTAATCTAAATTCAATAAAATTGTTTTTTACAATGACCAAGGATCTACATACAATCGATTTGGAGGACTTCAAGTTTGGTAAGACAAAGATCAGTTCCTTCCGGATGGTTGACTCGTCGAGTCAGGAGCTCCAGTCCCTCTTAGATGACTGGGCACTGCTATCATCGCGACTGGGCGTCAGGCGCTCCAAAGCGCCCGAAAGTATTTCGGTATAAAAATTAATTAGTTTTACGACAAAAAGCACACAAAAAACTTAATGAAAATTAAGTTGTTTTAACGGAAATTAAATGATTTTTTTGTATGTTTTGTGTTTTTTTGTGAAATGTTTTTAGACTGAATCGGCGCTTATCTACGATGGCGTGAAGCTATTGGCTACGGCTATACAGGACCTGGATCAAAGTCAGACCGTGGAGATCCAGTCGATATCGTGCGAGTCGGCCATTCCCTGGGAAAAGGGCAGTTCGCTAATCAATTACATGAGACCAGTAATTATTATTATATGATATGATTACTAGATATATGTAACATAATATTAATTATATATATATAGGATAGCATATTGTGAAACACATATTGCCTTAAAAATTAGCTTTTTCATTTATAATTAATGATTACGCCCATTAACTCATGGTATATTGTTTCACCAGTTATTATATATGTTTTGGCAATACATTCGCTATAAT